ACTATAACTTTAGTTTACGTATTTATACGTTACCTGCATTCTACCGCTAGTCTATAAAAAATGTATTAATACGTGTCCCACGCTCTACTACACTGGTAGAACGTATAAATACGTAAAACGTATAAATATGTTTCACGCTGAATTTCATGCACCGGGCCCCTAGTATATAATAAAAGTGTAATATGCTAAGTGTCCGACCATTTGACCAGTCCACCAGTCACTATAATGCGCACTGACCACCAGGGGGCAGACACTTCGACTGGTAGGTTAGCTTGCTGCTGGGGTCTGGCTGATCAGACTGGGCGATATGGGCCAGGCACACCCTGCAGCCCTCCCACAGTCCCTCCCAGGCAGCCAACTTCCCGCGGTCTGTCCCCAGCAGGCTGACCCTCATTGGCCCTGCTCAGGACTGGGCAAGACAACCCGATCGCTGGCCAGGCTGAGGGACCCCACCGGTGCACAAATTCGTGCACTGGGCCTCTAGTACAAACAAAGTGAGGAGCCATAGTGATTAGGTCTGCATATTGTTTTTCTGTTTTTTCTTTTTACCCCTGTACCTGACCACACATTTATTCTGTTTGACTTCTAGCCCCATACTTAACTTAAATCCCACATAATTATGCAGATTGAAAATGTATTATGATCCAGAAGGCAACAAATAAGTGGGCAAGACATTCATTCCTTTCACTAGTTTGTCTTTTTTTAAAATATATTTTTAATGTTTAATCATAAGTTAAAAAAATGAGAAAACACCAAACTTACACATAATGCCAATAACTTTTAAAATCTTTACACCAAATGCTATTAATAATGTTAGTTCTGCCCTGGCCGGTTTGGCTCAGTGGATAGAGCGTCGGCCTGCAGACTGCCAGGTTCAATTCTGGTCAAGGGCACGTGCCTTGGTTGCGGGCACATCCCCAGTGGAGGGTGTGCGGGAGGCAGCTGATCAATGTTTCTTTCTCATTGATGTTTCTGACTCTCTATCTCTCTCCCTTCCTCTTTGTGAAAAATCAATAAAACATATTTTTTAAAAATGTTAGTTCTTCGAATTTCAGATACATAGTGAAAGCCTGTGTGACAAAAATTCTTTACAATATTTTCAATTTAACAATTTCAATTAATTGAAATTCCCTTCAACTCAGTTTACAAGTATTGAGTTTTTAGTATATGATACACTATGCAAGGCTGAATTATGATAATAATTATTGAAGTGTTTTCCAAACTATAAATTGCTATGTATATGCTAGTTGTAACTCTTAGATGCTTGCTTTTCTACAAAGCGTTTCTCTGTCTTTTTAATCAATTTAAGCAATGACTGACTATTTCTTCTTATTAATACACATTTTAATATTAACACATTAAGAACCAAACTTTCCAACATTTGTTCTGTTGTTATTGTAAACTTAGGACAATTTTCACAGCATTACTAACTCTTTAAAAAGTTTCTTTGCAAGTCCCTCTCCACCTGTCTTGCCATCACCCTATACCGTCTCTTGATTTCACTTCCTTCTCACTCCCATACTCTACCACCACTATTTCCTACATATACTTTGCCTTTAATCACTTGGGCCATGTTTATAAATGAACTCTTTCCTTTTAAACATGCCAAACAAAACTGTGATCTAGGTAACTTGTTATAAATTTAATTAGGTGTTCACATTAATCAGTTATGGCCAAATTTGCACCTGCAAAACTTCGCATATGTATTCTTTTATGTAATTTATTGTCTCTCTAGAAAACATATTAATCAATAGTTTTTGGTCTTTCCTGTTCTAATACTTCCAATTTCTGTTATTGCTTTTCCACGTATAGTAGAAGCAGTGGTTCTCAACCTTCCTAATGCCGCGACCCTTTAATATAGTTCCTCATGTTGTGGTGACCCCCAACCATAAAATTATTTTCGTTGCTACTTCATAACTGTAATTTTGCTATTGTTATGAATCCTAATGTAAATATCTGATATGCTGTATGTGTTTTCCGTTGGTCGCGACCCACAGGTTGAGAACCGCTGATTGTGTTTTGTTTGTGTAAGTCTATTCATCCCAGAACATGATATATACTGAAAACATTGCAGTTCCTTGTTGCAATATTAAATGCAATGAAATATACTTAATTTATTCAGTGATCAGTCATAATTAAATCTAATATTCTGAACCTCCCTTTGTGTGTGTGTGTGCGTGTGTGTGTTTAAGTAAGATGTGGGAGGAGAAACTGTTACTGCAATTTTAACATGTTAAAGGAAGTGTTTTTATCCTTATTATATATTTGTCAAAATGATGGCATCTTGCCAGGCAGCTCCCAGAATGTGCTCAAATACATATCTTTGCATAGAAAATACTGCGGTTAAATATACCATATGAATTTTTCACTTCTTTGTCCTAATTGTTTTACTTTTTAGACTATGAGTTTAACTTGCATTTTGAGAAATCTTTTTTTAAAAAAACTATCAATTTGCTCAGCTCTGTTCTCATTACAGAGTCTAAGATTAAACAAAGTTTTGTAGGAACATGCCTTTTCCTGTAGCTATTGAATTTATTTCTAGTAGTATTAAGTAGTGTTTCTTTTCCTCTGCTTTCACAGTAGTCTTTCTACATTATGTGGAAATGTTAAGAAATCCTGATAAGACCAAGCCAGCTGAGTTTCAGACAGGGTCTGTGTTTAAAGAGAACATCACACATCTAGTTGAATAGCCCTGCTGGGTCAATTTTCACTAATTTAATCAGGAGCCAGACCCACTAATGTTACATGCCTTCTTGTGAAGAAAGAGTCTACTAAGGCTTATTATAATGTGGATTATAATTCATTCCTACTTATGTCCTTAAATAGGGTTGTACCGAGGCCATGCCCAGCAGTGGGCTATGCACTAAGTGCAGGAAATGATAAAAGACATTTGTAAGGA